TCCCCAATCTTTAGCACCAGGGACTGGTTTCGTGGAAGACAACTTTTCCATGGACTGGGCAGGGGGACGGTTTCAGGATGATTCAAGTACATTACATTTATTGCATACTTTATTTTATTATTATTGCATTGTAATATATAATGAAATATAAAACTCACCATAATGTAGAATCAGCGGGAGCCCTGAGCTTGTTTTCCTGCAACTAGACAGTTCCATCAGAGAGTGATGGGAGACAGTGACACCCGAAATGTGGTGCTTATGTCCAGTCTGCTCCGTAATCTTGGCTGCTGTCACTGCAAAAAACCCTGTTTCACAAAGACAGGATGTTGGAAATGCAAGCAGGTGTTTCAGTGATACTATTGACAAGGAAATGTCAGTCCTCCTGTGGAGAACAGCAAAGGCTTTGCTGTCCTTAAATTTTACATAACATTTTGTATTATTGGTCCTTCTCTGTTATTTTTTCTGATATCTCTCCTCTCTTCTTCCTCCTCTTAAATGGTACATCTAATCCTGTTCTCTTATTCTAAATTTTAAAATGATTTTTCAATGCCTGCAGGTCTTTACTGAATACCTCTATAATCATTTAACTCCAATTCTATTTCAATAGCTAGGCTGCCCATCTGGTAATTCCATTGGTTATTATACTTATCACAAACTTGATAAATCTGAAATTCTGTGCAATAGATAATTTTCTTGTGGTAGTTAAAAAATATGTTCAATAATTATTTGAAACTCTTCAAAAAGTATGAGGTATCTTCAAAAAGTTCATGGGAAATGCATATTATGAAGAAACCATGCATAGATTTCAGAAATATTTTACACCTAAATAAACTAGTACTAACTTGTTATAAAATGTCTGAACAGGATCTAATTTGAGGAATTATAATAAGAAAACTAAGACACCAATTTGAAAAGAGGTCCTATTAGAGCAACATGAATTCTGCCAAAATTAATGCAAGAATAAACATCAAATTTATGGCAATTTTGGGTGAAACAGTAAAATCACTGGTTCTTTATGACAAGTTTATGAGGACAATGCCCTCCAACATTCGCAAGTTTACAAGTGAATAACTCATTTGAAGAAGGGATGATAAGATATTGAAGACAAAGCCTGCAGTGGCAGACAATTCACATTAGTTCACCAGAAAAAAAAAAAATCTTGTTCATGTCCTGCTTTAGGAATAACAATAGCATAAACAACAGCCAACACCATAGCCATCTCAATTGGTTAAATTTACACAATTTTGAAAAATTTTCCACTCAATAGTTTCAAAAACTCTTGTTCCCAAATCAACTGCAGCAAGAGCAGAGCTTTCAACTGATATTTTGCATAAGTGGAATCAAGATCCTGAAGCATTTCTTCAAATAATTTTAAGAGGAGGTCAAACACAGCTGTTCCAGTGAAATCCTCAAGACTTTCTACAGGGCCCAAAACAAAAGAACCCCAATAACACATGCTATTATGAGAGTATTTTGAGAAAGTTAGCCAAAGTTTTAGAAGAAAAACTTCCAGGAAATTTCACCAGAGAATTCTTCCCCACCATAACAATATTCCTCCTCATTCCTCTCATCAAAAAAAGACAAATTTGCCAGAGTTTCAATAGAAAATTATTAGGCATCCACCTTATAACCCTGATTTTGCTCCCACTAATTTCCTTTTTCTTTTCTGATTTAAAAAAAACTTGAAAGGACACCCATTTTTCTTCAGTTAATAACATAAAAAAGACTGTCTCGACATGGTTAAATTCCCAGGACCTTAGTTTTTTGTAGGGATAGACTAAAGGCCAGTATTATTGCTTATAAATGTGTCTTGAACTTGATGAAGCTTGTGTTGAGAAATAAAGTTTCCGTATTTTACTTTTGTGTTTTACTTTCATTTTTTCACAAACTTATTGAAGTCCTTTCATAGACCCTAATTCTCTTCTTCTTGAAGGTATGTCCAGCTTCAGCATCCTTTCTTGTGAATAGAATGTGACAGAAGTGACCATGTGTGACTTCTGAGTCTAGGTCATCAAAGATTTTGCCCCTTATGCTTTCCTTTTTTCTAAGCCACTCACGCTGGAAGAAACCAACAACTATTTGGTGAGAATAATCAAGCAGCCAAGCAGCCCTACAAAAACATCCATGTGGAGAGAACCTGAAGCCTTCAATGACAAACACCACCAACTCACAGGCCGTGAGTGTGAGCAAACTTGAAAGTGGATCTTCTACTTTCGGTCAAGCCTTTGGATGACAGCCCCAGTTGAAATCTGACTGTAACCACATGAGATATCCAGAGGCACAACCACCATGATAAATTGTTCTTGAATTACTCGTTTACAGAAACTCAATTAGGTAATAAATACTGTGAGTTTATGCCACAAAATTTTGGGGTTATATGTTATGAAACAATAGATAGCAATTTCACTCTTTCAACATCAATTTTATTTTTATACAATAATGCATTTTTAATAATGGGATATGTATTGAGAAATGCACCATTGTGTAATATCATTGTTGTGTGAACATCGTAAGATGTACTTACACAAACCTAGGTGGTATAGCCTATCACACACCTAGAGTATATGGTATAGCCTATTGCTCCTAAACTACAAACCTGTGCAATACGTTACTGTGCTGAATACTGTAGGCAACTGTAACACAATGGTCAGCATTTGTGTATATAACATAGAAAAGGTAGAGTAAAAATATGGTATAAAGATTAAAATGGTACACTTGAATACGGCATTTACCTCAGATGGTCTGCTAATTTTCATGGTCACATGAAGATTCCACTGAGATATATTTTCCCATAGGTGACAGCCTTGACTATGTGCACCATCCATGAAGGTCCCCTTTGCCTTGCTTTTCCTGACTTGTCAAGTGCATGATGATGTGGCAAGCCAGCGCAAGAGCTGAACTCTGTTCTCTTTCTATTGAGTTCTACAGCTATTTATTCTGAGTTTGGTACCTAGACTTTGTAGACCCCATTTCTTTGACATTCTTGGTAGAATCAGGTCATCTTCATCCCATTGTGCTATCCTTGTGTTACTGTTATGTTTTATGATGCCTAAAGTTATTTTATAGAAGAATAATCTGAGGGTAGACCATAGGCCTAGAACCTTTGAGCCTATTGTTTGAGCCAGCCTCACAGAGAGGACAGTGGTTTTCACTGGATCAGCATCAATTTGGATAAACATTGCTGTCAGTTACTATGAAACTGGTTACATTTTCTATTCGTTTTTTTTTTTTTTGTCTTAAGAAAACATTTTTAATCAGAGCATGTTTTCTATGGTTTTACACCCACTAGGGTCATAGGCTTTTTTCTGCCTTAAGATATGGCCAATGATTGCATTGGGGCCTAGACATTAGGTGCACAGAATTACATACAAACTGTACTCTAAATACTATTCATTTTAGGATAAAACTATTGGTACATATATATTTTTATTACAATTCTTATGCTTATTTTTCTGAATAGCATTACTTCATCAAAAATTATTTGAACCTTTAATGGCCACACTAACGAATGTTGACCAGAGAAACATTGTTCCTTTGAGTGGCATTTTAGGAAAACAAAGATTCCTTGGGTCCAATGGGCAGTATTTTTAGTTGGTAGGCAGAGGACTCTACATGAAATCCTGAATCAAACACTGCTCCACTAAAATATTCTGTGGCTAAAGATGAAAAATTTTACAATCAGAAGCAACAAAAACTAGACACATTTTTTAGTAAATCTTTCCCTTTCTTGTCCTTCGGTTGCCTCCTGGCATGCAGCTCTCCCTCCTGTCTCTTATGATTCTGTTCTCTCTTCTTCTGCCCCACCATTGACTTTTCCTTCTTGCTTTCTGTCCTGAAATTATTTTCCCGTCATAAATTCTCAAATTATTTGTTCCATCTAAAGATCCATCTTTACCATGAGCCAGATATGTGAGCAACTGCAGAATTTAAATCTAGTGCACGAGTTCAGAGTCATACATGAACTAAGAAGTTATAATGAACAATTTTTAAAAACTAGACAAGGAAATAAAATATTAATCAAATGATTTAGAATTCTTTAGGGCACATATGGCCCAGGTTTGCTGGACATATCAACTTGTACACCTGTTAATTGAAACATCAGATGCGAAATCCTAGATGACAAAATGTGATTTGGTCTGACCTGGTGGTCAGCATTGTGCCATACCTTTGGAATTGACAGATAAAGACAGGAAACATGTAGAATTCCGCTTTCCAAAATAAATATCAGGGTCAAAATCATTCATAAAAACAATAAAATTATTAAACTATGGAAGAATTTGGAGATAGACTATAAAATTTATTGTCACAACTCAAAGTTAAATAAAACAGGTTTTCATTAAAAATCAAATTATGGGCCGGGCGCGGTGGCTCAAGCCTGTAATCCTAGCACTTTGGGAGGCCGAGACGGGCGGATCACAAGGTCAGGAGATCGAGACCATCCTGGCTAATACAGTGAAACCCCGTCTCTACTAAAAAATACAAAAAACGGCCGGACGCGGTGGCTCAAGCCTGTAATCCCAGCACTTTGGGAGGCCGAGACGGGCGAATCACGAAGTCAGGAGATCGAGACCATCCCGGCAAACACGGTGAAACCCCGTCTCTACTAAAAAATACAAAAAACTTGCCGGGCGAGGTGGCGGGCGCCTGTGGTCCCAGCTACTCGGGAGGCTGAGGCAGGAGAATGGCGTGAACCCGGGAGGTGGAGCTTGCAGTGAGCTGAGATCCGGCCACTGCACTCCAGTCTGGGCGACAGAGCGAGACTCCGTCTCAAAAACAAAAAAACAAAAAAACAAAAAAAAACAAATCAAATTATGTAAAAGTTGTAAAACTTAAAATCTTAATATCAGGAATAATTATATAATAAAAGCTATCATAAATACTCAACAGGAAACCAGAAATTTTAATTATTTTGCCATTTGTTTTACTATCAACTCTGATTATTGTGTTTCTTAAAAGAAACAAATATACCATTATGAGGTGATCAGAAGCAGACAAGGAGATTAGACATTCCCTCATTTATTCACTCAGCAACCCTGCTACAGAACTAAACCTATGCCAAGTGCCCTGGTGGGCCCAGCATGTGGTGCTGAGAAATGATTGTATTGCCCTTTCCCCCACTCAGGGAGCCCACAGTCTGAGGATATATGGACAAAAACACTAAAGCAAGTACATATAAAAGAAGAGTAAATGCTATAATAAAGTAAGATGTTGGGAGGGAGGGCAGGGGAGCCATGGCATTCGAGGGACCCAAATGCCTCATTGAGGTGACATTTATGCCATGACCAGGATAACAACAGAAGGCCAGCCCTACACAAGTCTGGGAACAGTATGTCAGGGAGACGCCACTCCTGGTGCAGAGACATGCAGGCAGAGGTGACGTTGGATGACAAGGATGTGAGAAAGAGGCCGGTGTGGGCTAGAGGGAGCCTGGGGGAGAGAAGAAAAGAGGGAGGATGACTCTGGGGCCTGGAAGAAGACAGTGATCTGCCTCTCTCTGACAACATTGTCCCCAAACTTAGCACCTTTAAACAACAAATGCTTACTATCTCATGATTTATGTGGACCAGAATCTGGACACCGCTTTGCTGGCTGCCTCCACATGGGGCTCCATGAGGCTGGGGCTGTGTTCTCAGCTGAAGCTGGGCTGTGGGAGGATTGGCTTCCAAGCACACTCACGTGGGTACTGTCCAGGTTCAGTGTGGACTGAGAGCCTGAGTGTCTCCTGGGGCCTGGGCACTCCCTCATTCTCTGTTGTGTAGGCCTCTGCCTAGGGCAGCTCATAACACTGGAGCTTGCTTTCTGAATTTGAGGAATACAGCAGAAAGACAGGGAGATAATTACATATTGACAGAGAAAGACAAAGACACAGGCAGAGAATGAGGGATAAAATACTGGACAGAGTAAGTAGATGAGAGAAATAGAGAGATTGAGAGAGGAAACAGAGAAGTGACTAGGAGAAAATGACAGCTTTTTTGATAATAACATAATGAGAATTGCAATAGACTGAACATTTCCCCACCAAAAACTGTGTACGTTGAAATCCTAGCTCCCAGTGTAACAGTGCTAGGAAGTGGGAGGTAATTAGGTTCTGAATCCTCATGAATGTGATTACCAGCTCTATAAAAGAAACCCCAGAGAGCTCCTTACTCCACTATCTGTCAGGTAAAAATACAATGTAAAGTCTACAGTCTTCAACTCAGAAGACAGAGTTCTCACCAGAGCCCAACCACACTAGCGTTCTGATCTTCAACTTCTGTCCTCCAGAACTGTGAGAAAGAACATTCTGTTGTTGATAAGTGGCTCAGTCTATCTTTGCTATAATAGCCTGACCTAAGACAGAAGTGTTATCCCATTACGTCCGTTGCATTCTGTTGGTCAGAAGTGAGTCACTAACCCCTTAGTATTGTGAGCCTTCCTGTAAGCCTTGCCCACCACATAGGCCAAAATGAAGGACATGGGTCTGATTCTGAATATAATGAGAAGGCACTGAAAGGAGTACTGTCAGAGGATGACACTCTCTGAATTCCATTTCATCTCAAACTCTTACTGATGCAGAATGAAAAATGAGGCTGAGAGGGGAAGCGACTTTCCAATATCACATTGCTGGATACAGGCCTGTTTGAGGTGTACTCTATGCTACCTCCCATTCCTTCTTATAGTTCCTTTATCCCTAAGTGTGTGTATTATCTACATGGGATGCCACACTATGAGTTTTACAAGTTTTATCTCATACACACCTGATGAGTTCCCTAGGAAGAAGATGCTGGCATGTTACCCACTGTACATGTTGAAAGGCCCCTAAACCCACAATAACTTTGCTAGTGTCACAGAACTGTAAGAAAGAGTAGGTTCTTACCCACATCTGTGACCTCACACCTGAGGCCCTGGCTGTATTCAGGTCTTTCCAGGGAACTGAGGGCTGTGTTTGCATAATTGCACACAGGTAAAGAGTTAACATGCAGGGATAGTGAGCAGTCAGTGGCCCAGCAGGGCCTTGGGGTAGGTCTTACGGAAGCAAGGAGCCCAGAGGATGAAACTTTGAAAAAGTGATCTTACTTCCTTGGTGACAGACCCCAACAGAACTTAGAATTCTGGTAACCAAGCACCCACATCCTAGAGACAGCCCTGTATCCAGGTGGGAAATGCTTGGTTGGAAATGCTTAAGAGAGCACAATGTGCACTTGCTAGATCCCAACTCTCTTAGGCTCTTGCTTCAGGAAGGCCTAAAGTGAAAATCTTTTCGGAGATGCTGACATTGGCTTATTCCTCACCGTATAAGTCTCTGGAGATTTTGCAGGGGTTGCCCAGAGGTAATATGTTAAGTCTAGGGCAGGCTCCTCCAGCCTAGGTCTCATCAATGCTTTCATTGTCCTTTGCTTTAGAATGTAAGGAAAAATCAGGAACTTAAAATAGGAAAAATTGACCAAAACTACATTTTTGTGAGATTCCCTAAGGTTCGTTGTTGTTATTTTGTTTTAGACAGGACCTCACTCTGTCACCCAGGCTGGAGTTCAGTGGCACAATCACAGCTCACTGCAGCCTAGATCTTCTGAGATCAAGCAATTGTCTCACCTCAGCCTCCGAAGTAGCTGAGGGACTACAGGTGCACACCATCACACTTGGCTAATATATGTATTTTTTATCTTTAGCAGAGGTGAAGTCTCATTATGTTGCCCAGGCTTGTCTTGAACTCCTGAAATCAAGCAATCCTCAATTTTTGATACATAGCTTTGCTAGGTGTGGGATTCTTAGTTGACAGTTTTTTCTTTTTTTCTGTGAGCACTGGCTAAAGAAAGTTTAAAAAGAAGAAATAGAGAAACTTCAAGTAAGGCAATTAAATGAACAAATTAAGAGCTAAGAAACAACAAAGACTGAGTACTGAGGTTGTAATTACGGCAGCTAATGATAGAATGGATCCAGTCAGAGAGTTTAGGCAGAATCGTACTTGCAGAGAGTAGAAGTCTGAGGGTGAAGGTGTCCTAAATGAGGCCAACTGGAAGACTTGTTTATTACAGAATCAAAGACAATGCATGGGAACACACCATGCCAAACCCAAACAGGTTGAGGTGGTGCTCTGTGCAAGGGTATATAGGTTTATGGGAAGAAAAGCTACCATTATAACATCAAGGTTTTTTTTTTTTTTTTTTTTTTTAAATTAAAAGAATCACAAATGTGGCAGTTATAATCAGGGTTAAGGTTAAAGTTAAAGTTGTATTTCAGGTTTGGTTGGTGGGTGTCACAAAGAAAAAGTATGTCTGTTGCCAAGAAGTGGGTGTTCTAGTTTGTGAAATAAAACATCCCAGTGACTAGAAACAGTAGAGGAGAAAAAGGGATGGGATGGCAAACACAGGTTCCTGGAAATTTATATTAAAATAAGGTTTACAAAGGAGGACAGTGTGCATCTCAGTCATCAGTGCTGCCTGCAATGGAGTATTTCTACCCATGATAAATACACCATAATATGTGAGAGGTGAAAAGCAGCCTACATTATGCTTCCCACGCCAGATGCCTTGATCTGGGGCTCTGTTCCCAGGGAAAAAGAGCACATCTTTGAAGTAGTTTTGGAGCAGGAGGTATCTTCCAAATTCCAACGAAGTATCTTATATTTCTAGGTGATCCTGAGACCTCTGCAGAAGAAATAAATGAAGGCCATGAAACTTCCTTGAACTAGTGGAAATCCATGAGAAAATCTGACATTATGTTCTATTCTCTTGGAAGGTAGAAATATTGTTTGACTTCTGTTTTGTTGACAAGAAGTGAGGCCAGACCACCCATCCGAACAAGGCTACCTGGGACAATTACCTCACACGTGGAAAACATTGGAGTCCATCTGTTTCTAATCTGCTGTTTTCCAAAAATTAGAGAAGTTTAGTTTTCTCTTTGATATCCTGTTTCTAACAATCCCAGTGCCAGTGCTGTCCTGCTTCCACAAGTGACAGTGACAAATATGAGCCTGAAGGAAGATGAGCTGATGGCATTCCCAGCTTATTATGACTCCTTGGGGGCCTTATCTTACATACATGGATTCAATTCGTAGACTTAGCTGGGTGAGTATCTATTATTCAGCTGCATTAGAAGTGACTACTTAAGACTTAGGTGTGTGGTGAAATGAGGCAGGATTTTCTCCTCATGATTGCCATCTTACTATCACTGAATCATAGCTAAAATCAGGAAATAATTCACGAAGAAATAGAAACGTAATATTATGAGGACATATATTTAGAGATTGGTGGAAAGGCCTTTATAATTTTGTGGCGTGCTCTTTGAGCTGGAATTATAGTTGACATTTCATTATATTAGCTATACTAGACTTTATGCATTTATGTAAAGTTTTATTTACTTTTATTATACTGTAAGTTCTGGGACACATGTGCAGAACGTGCAGGTCTGTTACACACGTATACATGTGCCATGGTGGTTTGCTACACCCATTAACCCATCACCTACATTAGGTATTTCTCCTAATGCTATCCCTCTCCTAGCCTCCCACTCCCCGAAGGTCCCCAGTGTGTGATGTTCCCCTCCTTGTGTCCATGTGTTCTCATTGTTCAACTCCCACTTATGAGTGAGAATATGTGGTGTTTGGTTTTCTGTTCTTGTGTTAGTTTGCTGATAATGATGGTTTCCAGCTTCATCCATGTTCCTGCAAAGGACATGAACTCATCCTTTTTTATTGCTTAATAGTATTCCATGGTATATATGTGCCATATTTTCTTTATCCAGTCTATTGTTGATGGGCATTTGGGTTAGTTCCAAGTCATTGCAGCAGTGAACACTGCTGCAATAAATGTATGTGTGCATGTGTCTTTATAGTAGCATAATTTATAATCCTTTGGGTATATACCTAGTAATGGGATGCTGGGTCAAATGGTATTTCTGGTTCTAGATCCTTGAGGAATTGCCACACTGTCTTCCACAATGGTTGAACTAATTTACACTCCAACAGTGTAAAAGCATTCCTATTTCTCCACAACCTCTCCAGCATCTGTTGTTTCCTGACTTTTTAATGATCGCCATTCTAACTGGTGTGAGATGGTATGTCATTGTGGTTTTGATTTGCATTTCTCTAATCACCAGTGATGATGAACTTTTTTCACGTTTGATGGCCAAATAAATGTCTTCTTTTGAGAAGTGTCTGTTTATATCCTTCGCCTACTTTTTGATGTTTTTTTTTTCTTGTAAATTTGTTTAAGTTCTTTGTAGATTCTGGATATTAGACCTTTGTCAGACGGATAGATTGCGAAAACTTTCTCCCATTCTGTAGGTTGCCTGTTCACTCTGATGATAGTTTCTTTTGCTGTGCCGAAACTCTTGTTTAATTAGATCCCACTTGTCAATTTTGGCTTTTGTTGCCATTGCTTTTGGTGTTTTAGTCATGAAGTCTTTGCCCATGCCTATGTCCTGAATGGTACTGCCTGGATCCTCTTCTGAGGTTTTTATGGTTTTAGGTCTTATGTTTAAGTCTTTAATCCATCTTAATTTTTGTTTAAGGTGTAAAGAAGATGTCCAGTTTCAGTTTTCTGCATATGGCTAGCCAGTTTTCCCAACACCATTTATTAAAGAAGGAATCATTTCCCCATTGCTTGTTTTTGTCAGGTTTGTCAACGATCAGATGGTTGTATGTGTATGGTCTTATTTCTGAGTTCTCTATTCTGTTCCATTGGTCTATGTGTCTGTTTTGGTACCAGTATCATGCTATTTTGGTTACTGTAGCCTTATAGTATAGTTTGAAGTTGGGTAGTGTGGTACCTCCAGCTTTGTTCTTTTTGTTTAGCAATGTCTTGGCTATTTGGGCTCTTTTTTGGTTCCATATGAATTTTAAAATAGTTTCTTCTAATTCTATGAAGAATGCCAATTGTAGTTTAATGGCAATAGCATTGAATTCTTTTATAAATTACTTTGGGCAGTATGGCTATCTTCATGAACTAATTCTTCCCATTCATGAGCATGGAATGTTTCTTCATTTGTTTGTGTCCTTTCTGATTTCTCTGAGCAGTGGTTTGTAGTTCTCTTTGAAGAAGTCCTTCACATCTCTTGTAAATTGTATTCCTAGATATTTTATTCTCTTTGTAGCAATTGTGAATGGGAGTTCACTCATGGTTTGCTGTCTATTATTGGTGTACAGAAATGTGTGTGAGTTTTGTCAATTGATTTTGTATCCTGAGACTTTGCTAAGTTACTTATCAGCTTAAGGAGATTCTGGGCTGAGACAATGGGGTTTTCTAAATACAGAATCATGTCATCTGCAAACAGAGATAATTTGACTTCCTCTCTTCCTATATGAATACCCTTTATTTCTTTCTCTTGCCTGATTGCCCTGGCCAGAACTTCCAATACTACGTTGAATAGGAGTGGTGAGAGAGGGCATTCTTGTCTGTTGCCAGTTTTCAAATATGCTTCCAGATTTTGCCCATTCAGTATGACATTGGCTGTGGGTTTGTCATAAACAGCTCTTACTATTTCGAGGTGCGTTCCATCAGTACCTAGTTCATTGAGAGTCTTCTGCATAAAGGGGTGTTGAATTTTATTGAAGGGCTTTTCTGCATCTATTGAGATAATCACGCGGTTTTTGTCATTGGTTTTGTTTACATAATTGATTATGTTTATTGATTTGTGTATGTTGAACCAGCCTTGCAACCCAAGGATGAAGCTGACTTGATCGCGGTGGATAAGCTTTTTGATGTGCTGTTGGATTTTGTTTTCCAGTATTTTATTGAGGATTTTTGCATTGATGTTCATGAGGGATACTGGCCTGAAATTTTCTTTTTCTGTTGTGTCTCTGCCAGATTATGGTATCAGGATGACGCTAGACTCACAAAATGAGTTAGGGAGGAGTCCCTCTTTTTCTACCGTTTGGAATAGTTTCAGAAGGAATGGTATCAGCTCCTCTTTGTACTTCTGGTAGAATTCGGCTGTGAATCTATCTGGACCTGGGTCTCATTAATTACTGCCTCAATCTGAGAACTTGTTATTGGTCTATTCAGGGATCCAACTTCTTCCTGGTTTAGTCTTGGGAGGATGTATGTGTTCAGGAATTTATCCATTTCTTCTAGATTTTCTAGTTTATTTGCATAGAGGTGTTTATAGTATTCTCTGATGGTAGTTTGTGGGATTTCCGTGGGATCAGTGGTGATATCTCCTTTATCATTTTTATTGTGTCTATTTGATTCTTCTTTCTTTCCTTCTTTATTAGTCTGGCTTGTGGTCTATCTATTTTGTTAATCTCTTAAAAAACCAGCTCCTGGATTCATTGATTTTTTGAAGGGTTTTTCGTGTCTCTGTCTCCTTTAGTTCTGCTCTGATCTTAGTTATTTCTTGTTTTCTGCTAGTTTTTGAATTTGTTTGCTGTTGCTTCTCTAGTTATTTTTTAATCATGATGTTAGGGTGTCGATTTTAGATCTTTCCTCCTTTCTCCTGTGGGCATTCAGTGCTATAAATTTCCCTCTAAACACTGCTTTAGCTGTGTCCCAGAGATTCTGGTATGTTGTGTCTTTGTTCTAATTGGTTTGAAAGAACTTATTACTTCTGCCCTAATTTCATTATTTACCCAGGAGTCATTCAGGAGCAGGTTGTTCAGTTTTCATGTAGTTTTGTGGCTTTGAGTGAGTTTCTTAATCCTGAGCTCTAATTTGATTGCACTGTGGTCTGAGCGACTGTTATGATTTCTGTTCTATTGCATTTGCTGAGGAGTGTTTTACTTCCAAGCATGTGGTCAATTTTAGAATAAGTGTGATGAGGCGCTGAGAAGAATGTATATACTGCTGATTTGGGGTGGAGAGCTCTGTAGATGTCTATCAGGTCCGCTTGGTCCAGAGCTGAGTTCAAGTCCTGAATATCTTTGTTAATTTTCTGTCTCATTCATCTGTGTAATATTGACAGTGAGGTGTTAAAGTCTCCCCAGTTTATTGTGTGGGAATCTAAGTCTCTTACTATTATGATTGAGTGGGAGTCCAAGTCTCTTTGTAGGTCTCTAAGAACTTGCTTTATGAATCTTGGCGCTTCTATATTGGGTGCATATATATTTAGGATACCCAACTCTTCTTGTTGCATTGATCCCTTTTACCATTATGTAATGCCCTTCTTTGTCTTTTTTGATCTTTGTTGGTTTAAGATATGCTTTATCAGAGACTAGGATTGCAACGTCTGCTTTTTTTTTTGCTTTCCATTTGCTTGGTAAATATTCCTCCATCCCTTTATTTTGAGTGTATGTGTGTCTATGCATGTAGATGGGTCTCCTGAATACAGCACACCAATGGGTCTTGACTCTTTATCCAATTTGCCAGTCTGTGTCTTTCAATTGGGGCATTTAGCTCATTCATATTTAAGGTTAATATTGTTATATGTGAATTTGATCCTGTCATTATGATGCTAGCTGGTTATTCTGCCAGCTATTAGCTGAGCAGTTTCTTTATAGTGTCGATGGACTTTACAATTTGATATGCTCTTGCAGAGGCTGGTACTGGTTTTTCCTTTCCATGCTTCAGGAGCTCTTATAAGGCAGGCCTGGTGGTGACAAAACCTCTCAGCATTTGCTTATCTGGAAAGGATTTCATTTCTCCTTTGCTTATGAAGCTTTGTTTGGCTGGATATGAAATTCTAGGTTGAAAATTCTTTCCTTTAAGAATGTTGAATATTGCCCCCCACTCTCTTCTGGCTTGTAGGGTTTCTGCAGAGAGGTCCACTGTTAGTCTGATGAGCTTCCCTTTGTGGGTAACCCGACCTTCCTCTCTGGCTGCCCTTAACATTTTTTCCTCATTTCAACCATGGTGAATCTGATGATTATGTGTCTTGGGGTTGCTCTTCTCGAGGAGTACCTTAATGGTGTTCTCTGTATTTCCTGAATTTGAATGTTGGCCTGTCTTGCTAGGTTGGGGAAATTCTCCT